TATAACGACGACATGTTATAATCATTGTAAAGGTCATTTTTTTTGTAATTCGTTTGACGTCGAAAATAATCAATCAATCAATTCACATCCAGGAAGGAAAGTTTAATCCTGAAATACAATTAGAATAGTAGTGCGTAATAACTCACATCGCAAGACATTTAATATTAACACTCCATTTATTACATGTATCATTAAATTGTAAAAACCAACAAAAATGATAAATTAATCCTGTACATCTCTGTAAGATAATATCATTCCAAAAATGAGCTGTAAAACTTCGTTCGTTGCAAGCATTTTTTTTATTGTGCCTTCAAGCGTTGAAATCTTTATCATGTGAATGAATCTATATTGCATTAGCAACAACATTGCTTTAGCAAAATACAAGGTATATACATATATAACAAATATGACAAAATACAGAGAACAATTAAATAAATTAAATAATGCAGGGATAACTTATAATAACACATACATGTGTACAATATATTAGCTGATAATCGGAAAGCACGTAATGGGATTCCTTTCATTTTTTTTTAATTATTCAGTTTCCCCGACAAAAGTATAGTTTAGATACTGAAACACAGGAATTCAATAGTGCATACTTTATTGCTATAGACGGATTTGCCACAAATTTGCGGAATTTTCGGTTTAAGTGTGCTTGCTTCAATTTTGTATTTGATTTTGCATTCCAAATGATGAGGCTTGTGTATACATAACGCGCGTCTGGCGTACCAAATTAAAGATCATGGCGTCTGGCGTACCAAACTAAAGATAATGGTATCTATGATGAGTTTTTTTAATCATTACATTAATCAAAGGAAACCGATGCACAGAACAATTCTTGCAAACCATTAATATATGTTCTATAATACTTACGTGTCAAACCATTAATATATGTTCTATAATACTTACGTGTCAAACCATTAATATATGTTCTATAATACTTACGTGTCAAACCATTAATATATGTTCTATAATACTTACGTGTCAAACCATTAATATATGTTCTATAATACTTACGTGTCAAAATCCATATGTTATAACATGACGGGAAATTGGTGCACAGTTTTGTCCCTATTTTGCCCTGCTGGTTGCAGTAAGTTCTATTTTCAGAAATAAAATGTGTAAAAAAAAATGTTTTTGAAATAATTAATAATTTTATGCTTCGAAATGTTAAATTGGTGTTTATATTTTCGTTTTCGTGAAAAAGCACATACAGTGATTGTTATATAGATTCGAACTTACTATGACCCTCTTACTACAAATTAAGCATTTACTGTTATGAATAATATTTTGGCAACTTCAAAAATATCTTGCAAAACGGCATTTGATATATCTTTCAACATACCTACAGATATTTTGATACCGGACAATACACATATTGAGAAATTTCCCACCTGATCTCGCATTCACTTAACAAACAAAGTAAAATAACAAAAATAACAAACTCCAAGGCAAATTTAATACGGAAAGTCCCTTATCAAATGGAAAAATCAAAAGCTCAAAAACATCAAACGAATGGAAAACAACTGTCATATTCCTGACTACAGGCATTTCCTTATGTAGAAAATGGAGGATTAAACCTGGTTTTATAGCTAGCTTAACCTCTCACTTGTACGACAGTCGCATAGAACTCCATTACATTGACAATGTGTGACACACATTAATAGTAACTGATGTCTTTTAAAGACCTTGATATCATAATTTTATATGGTAGTATTCATACCAAACTTTATGATACAAACGAAGCTAGCTTTACTCTCTTATTTCTAATTTTCCATTTGTTGTTGGAGATTTTTTCTTTCACTTTTTCGTTAAAGTGTTAATTACCTTATACGGTTTGATATGCGCGTGGTTGAATCGTCGTCTCAGAACGCATTTTTTTTTTACAAACAAAATGAACATTTACAGCGTAAAAAATTGTACAAACGAGCATATTAGAAACATTAGCAACTACAAATCACCCGAACACATTATTCTGATTACGAGCTACCCAGTCCATGCTCTCACACTTCCTCTTTCGGCTCAAGTGTTGTGCACTTTGCGGAGGAGAGGCAAATATTATTTTTCAAGTCGTGGATCGAACAGACGACTTCGCTATCTTTCATGCAGCTCGATATTACAAAACAACTGAGTCGGTCATAACTGAATACAAAACTTCAACCTCTTTGGAAAGCGTGCCTTTTGTACCCCATTTTGCTTCGTGATTAGGTTAAAAAAAACTTTAATTTATCTATCCATTATATTAATATGGACTCTTCGCATGTGTAACCAAAATGACAATTTGCATATTCCCAATTGTTTTACGGAACAAGTAAAGTTAACATTAATTACACACGAAAACCCGATCACCTTTCTTATACGAATATTGGAAAATCACAATTATACGCATTTAAACAACCAGCTTGCCTTTCGTTCGGTTGAACAATTATTTGGTTGAGAGCTGAACCTGTTATGAATAACAACCGACAATTAATCAAAGGTACTTGGAAAAAAGAAAAAAATAGTCATTTTCTGTTATAATTATTTTGGATGTTAAGTAATTTACTAAGGTCAATAAATACTTTACCAACCAGATGGATTGAAATTGGAAAGAAAAAAGTATTGCAAGAAAAAAAGAAAAATCATCTCAGGATTACGTATTACTAAAATGATATTACTACTTTTTTGTTTTGATTATAGAAGAATCTAGTATTTTAAAGATGGAAAGAGTGGAATGAACTCGTTTCCCTTTCAACATCATCTCAATCCAAAGATCCGTTATTTGTACATATTTAAATATGTAATACTCAAGTATTGTTGCTTTGAGTAAACCGGATAATTATTAAAGATACATAGTGTACATTTATTGTAAAAATATTTCAACGAATACAAACTATTTGTATTAAAAGTCTCCTTTTACTTTTAATATCATACAGCTTAGAGTACAACGAAGTCAATAATTGCTCTATTTTGTATCAGTGAGTTGTATATTTGATATCCCTTGGTATCTCCAGCCTCAGTTTCGATATAATGTAGCAATCAAGTGTTTGTTAATGAGTTACGTCGTAATTACCAAAGGACTCACAATGACACAGCGCTTGTCATATGTGACATTACAATAAGTTTTATCTTTACTTATATCAAATTAAGTTGCCAAATCGGATTAAAACTGGTTTTCATTACTCTCGTGGAGAAACACGTGCATTGTGCAACAAAATAAGCATTCATTGGTATAGTGCAAATATTCATGTGATTCTATCTGGTGAAACAATAATGCTATTTAATATGCAAGGTTGTCTTCATGAAAACAAATTTCCATTTCAAAAGTAACAAAAAGATGGACGGTATTGTAGTTTTCACAGCTTTAAACTATTGTAATTTCAATAAATTTCCCGTATCTATTAAAATTAGGATGGTTCTATTGCTAATATTTCATAGTGGATCATTCTTTATTGATTTCCAGTAAATTCTGCTATCATACTAGGATTTAGTTATGTTTTTAAACTGTATCTGATTTTTAGTTAAGATTAAGATTACAATATATTGATGGTAATGCAGGGATAATATATATCACTTGGAAACGCAAATCAGGAACAAATCTAAGATTAAATATGTTTACCAGAATCTTAATTTCTGTTCTTGATAAAAATATTACAATATTGTACTTGATATATTCGAAGATTAACAACACCTTTTTGCACAGGATTTACATTATGTTCCAAAAGTGTGAACATTATCACAGACAATAAAAAAAGTTTACTACCTATAAAGTTATCACTGAAACTGTAAAAAAAAATGTTTGTACTTGTAAAAATGGTTAACAAAAATGTATTGTTCTCTTATATTTGCCTTTTGATATATTACTTTTATATTCAGTTCGATATTACAGTGATATACAAATGACATAAAGATTAATGTTGACCAATGCAAAGGGACACACATGACAAAAAACTATACCTCTGCATTCTCCACAGTATCCATTGATTTCAAATCGAATTCATAAAAAATAATAGTATGACTGATCAAAGACTGATCACAAAAGCTTATAAATGATTCCAGCAGGCGCATCTACACAATCTCGTCAACGGTAGTGCCATCCAGTTTGAAAATCAATTCTAGAAGAAGAAATTAAGAGCTTAGAAAAAAGAATCTTTGCCTGTGGGTAGCTCAAACCTTGGTGTTTCGGCTGAATATAATTTTCATGAACAGTAAATTTACAAAAATGGCCGCAGTATAAAAAAATATTATTTTTATACGATTAATACGATTAAAACCAAGCTAACGCAAATTCATGATTTCAAATCAATCTTATATAAAATAACAGTATCCAAATCAATCTCATATAAAATAACAGTATCCAAATCGATCTTATATAAAATAACAGTATCCAAATCAATCTAACATAAAATAACAGTATCCAAATCAATCTCATATAAAATAACAGTATCCAAATCAATCTCACATAAAATAACAGTATCTAAATCGATCTTAAATAAAATAACAGTATCCAAATCGATCTCATTTAAAAGAATAGTATCCAAATCAATCTCACATACAATAACAGTATCCAAATCAATCTCACATAAAATAGCACTATCCAAATCAATCTCATATAAAATAACAGTATCCAAATCAATCTCATATGCAATAACAGTATCCAAATCAATCTCATATAAAATAACAGTATCCAAATCGATCTTATATAAAATAACAGTATCCAAATCAATCTCACATAAAATAGCACTATCCAAATCAATCTCATATAAAAAAAAAACAGCATCCAAATCAATCTCATACGAAATAACAGTTATTGTATCCAAATCAAATCATAACCATTTTGCATGTTAGCAATTACTAATAAAATATAATCCAGATATGCTGAAAGCTGTTGCTTTTTTTATATTTACCTGGTTTTGAATGGACAGCAGTATTTATAACCGACTATTTGTATGGATATTTGGTCATATATTTAGATAAAATAACTTTATTTCATTGAATTCTTTTTTTTTCAGATTTAAACTTGGTGAAATACTATACTAAGCTTCTTTACTGAAAAATGGCCACTACGGATGTTCTTAACCGAACGATAGAAAACAAAACACTAGATTATCAAGACAACTATGAAGCTTATATCATTGCTGAAAATGTTCAGAAGTATTCAAAACCTATCATTTGTCTTTGCGGATTCATTGGCAATTTTCTGTCTGCCGTAATATTTCTTGGAAAATCTCAACGAAAAACGTCATGTAGTTTATATTTATGTGCTCGATCGTTATCAGATACGGGATTCTTGATTTCCCTTTTTTTCATGTGGTTAGGTGATATGAAGATTAATGCTTTTAAAGCTACAGGAATGTGCCAACTCATTGTATTTTTGTCTTATGTGTGCTCATTTCTATCAGTGTGGTTTATTGTGATTGTAACGTTTGAGAATTACATAAGAATATGTTTACCGTTTCAAGTTAGTATCTATTGCACAACGAGAAAAGCAAATGTGATAACATTCCTCTTCATCGTGCTATCTGTTTTATTATACAGCTTCACAATATGGACAACGGGTGACAAAATTACAGACACGGGAATGTCGATGTGTGAACCATTTACAGAATACGGGGACCTCTTTCAATATTTCATATACATTGATATGGTAATAACACTTGTTCTACCTACACTTATTACCATCACTTTGATGTTGCCCATCACCTTTAGTCTTGTAGAAGCTTTGCGACGACAGGCGAGACTGACTGGAAAGTCATCTTCAAGAAACAATGACCGACGAATTTCAAATCCTCAAAGTAAAGTAACAAAACTATTATTTTGTGTCTCTCTCGCCTTCATTATCTTAAGTCTTCCAAGTCATATAATACGTTTACAACTTACCATATCGACATTTGTAGAACAAATAACGACTCCGGTTGATACTGTTACTTCAACATGGAAATATATATTTGAATCGGTATCTTATCTTAGTTTTTCTATCAACATTTTTATCTATCTTTCATTCGGTGACAAATTCAGAAGCGATTTTAAGTCAATGTTTTGTTTGAATAGAGTAGCAGGAAGGGAACAATCGACGCAAACAATTCTAACGCAAACTATCACAAGGAGGCTCCACAAGGAGGAATCTCATACATTATTAGGAAAGGAAGAATGTGAAACAGATGTATGATTTCTGATCTGTTATTAGTTGATGTTTTGTGTACTTGCATATACCACAGAAATAGAAAAGTAGTACATTAAGGTATTGCCTATGACGAAAGACAGCATGTCAATATTCAAAATAAAAGGAAAATGGATTTTATTTTGATATCAAAACATTTGCCTTGAAAACTGACAGAAAAGCAACCTCGCCCAATAGACGTTCTCCATTCTGAATCCGTGGTAGTTTTGTTTTATAATTAAAATTTTATGCTCATTAAAATTTGAAACCTCATTGAAAAAACGTGCGAGTAATATAAATCAATAAAAAAGTTTTGTACTAAAAGTGAATGTTTGCTTCACTGAGAATAAAACACTTATTAGTTAAACATCTTTTTGATAAATTATACTTCAGCATATACGACAGATCAAAAACTAACACGACTCTTAACATTAAAACTTTATTAAATTTTATATGTGTTAGAGGTGTCATGTTTCCAATTGGAAATACCGGAAGATCAAAAGATTGGCAGTTCCTGCTCACAAACATTGACAATGTTCTTCCGCTGGAGTCCTCTCCTTTTACTGATATTCATCAACGTTAATGATATGTAATGAGTTGGTTTTATTTTGAAGTACGACATTCAGGCTCTGTCTATTGTATAATAATATATCTTTAAAAAGATCTTGTTATTCACGTACATATGAATTGATTTGAAAAATTAAATACGCAATTTCTCCCAACATTTACGAGAAACCAATATTAAAACAAACAATATGAAAACAAGAAGATGTTGTATGATTGGCAATGAGCCCACCTAAACAGCTGCAGGGCTCTGAACGGCCTTCAATATTTAGAGCGTAAGCTATAAAAGTCCCCGACATGACAAAATGACAAACACTTCAGAAAGGAAAACCAACGGCATGTTTTATACTAAAACCTACAAACGAAAAAAAAAAAAAGGCTGACAGCAAGTTGTTGATTATTTCCGTTTCTTTCCCTTATTTACAACAATAGGTTAGATATTATATCCTTTTCTTTCCCTTATTTACCACAATAGGTTAGATATTATATCCTTTTCTTTCACTTATTTACCACAATAGGTTAGATATTATTTCCTTTTCTTTCACTTATTTACCACAATAGGTTAGATATTATTTCCTTTTCTTTCACTTATTTACCACAATAGGTTAGATATTATATCCGTTTCTTTCCCTTATTTACCACAATAGGTTAGATATTATTTCCGTGTCTTTCCCTTATTTACCACAATAGGTTAGATATTATTTCCGTGTCTTTCACTTATTTACCACAATAGGTTAGATATTATTTCCGTTTCTTTCACTTATTTACTGATGAGTCTTTTATAGACGAAACGCGCGTCTGGCGTAAATATAAAATTTCAATCCTGGTATCTATGATGAGTTTATTTACAACCACTGGGTCGATGCCACTGCTGGTGGAGATTTATTTCCCCGAGGGTATCACCAGCCCAGTAGTCAGCACTTCTGTGTTGACTTGAGTTATCATTGATATGTTCATAATTATAAATTAACTGTTAACAAAACTTTGAATTTTTGAAATACTAAGGCTTTTCTACCTCAGGAATAGATTAACTTGGCTGTATTTGGCAAAACTTTTAGGAATTTTTGTCCTCAATGCTCTTCAACTTCGTACTTTATTTGGCCTTTTCAATATTTTTTGATTCGAGCGTCACTGATGAGTCTTTTGTAGACGAAACGCGCGTCTGGCGTAAATATAAAATTTCAATCCTGGTATCTATGATGAGTTAATTTACCACAATAGGTTAGATATTATTTCCGTTTCTTTCACTTATGCCACAATAGGTTAGATATTATTTACGTTTCTTTCACTTTTTTTTTACCACAATAGGCTAGATATTATTTCCGTTTCTTTCACTTATTTGCCACAATAGGTTAGATATTATTTCCGTTTCTTTCACTTATTTACCACAATAGGTTAGATTATGTCTGTTTCTTTCATTTATTTACCACAATAGGTTAGATATTATTTCCGTTTCTTTCACTTATGCCACAATAGGTTAGCTATTATTTCCGTTTCTTTCACTTATTTACCACAATAGGTTAGATATTATTTCTGTTTCTTTCACTTATGCCACAATAGGTTAGATATTATTTACGTTTCTTTCACTTTTTTACCACAATAGGCTAGATATTATTTCCGTTTCTTTCACTTATTTGCCACAATAGGTAAGATCTTATTTCCGTTTCTTTCCTTTATTTACCACAATAGGTTAGATTATGTCTGTTTCTTTCATTTATTTACCACAATAGGTTAAATATTATTTCCGTTTCTTTCACTTATGCCACAATAGGTTAGATATTATTTCTGTTTCTTTCACTTATTTACCACAATAGGTTAAATATTATTTCCGTTTCTTTCACTTATGCCACAATAGGTTAGATATTATTTCCGTTTCTTTCACTTATTTACCAGGAAGGTTAGATATTATTTCCGTTTCTTTCACTTTTTTACCACAATAGGTTAGATTTTATTTCCGTTTCTTTCACTTTTTTACCACAATTGGTTAAATATTATTTCTGTTTCTTTCACCTTTTTACCACAATAGGTTAGATATTTTGGGAAAATGGTTATTGAAAGTTGCATCTACTTACCAAAGCAAAGGGAAATGATATTTACTTATGAGGTGGCAGTGTTTGAAACACTACAAGGTCATAATATGGACGTTCACGATCGAACATCCATCTATCAATCATCGATCAGAGTTACTAACAGGATAAATGGAAGTTAGTTCAAATATCCTTCCCTCTAGTTAGAATAAAAACGTGGCAATTATTGTTGATTTTGGTTTAATAATGCAAGATATTAAATTAAGCAGCAGTATCTTATTCTTAAATGTCAAATTCTATGGCTTATTTAAGAGTCCAGTATTTGTATACTGATAGCACATGGTTTATAGCACGTTTCCTCTTTTATTTTCATTTGGAAAATTGTTTAATAAGTAGTGCCTTGATGGAGACATAAAACTCAGGTGGAATCATTTGTATTCCTCTACAATATAACGTTTTAAGAGGGAGGAAAATTTTACATTTAGAAAAAAAAGTGTCGACTTATTTTCTAGCATCACATTATCCGGCAGAGTTTTTAGGCGTAGAACATACCTTTTCAACTTGGGTTCCACAAATAATCTAAATTTCGTAACAGTTGATATTATACGCAAAAACAATTCTTCTTATAAACATGAACATCTGATTTTGATCGACGGGCCTTTTTATAAAAACATTCTAGACAAAATTGGATAAACGTGTAACTGCTGCTAAATCAATTAAAAAAAACTAGCAAAGTTTTATTAAATTCTTTTTTTTAGATACAAACTTTGAAGTTCGGAGTTTCGAATACAAGTTGAAATTGCAAAGAAAAAAAAGTGTTATGAGGTTATAAAGATCATAAATAAAATAATGATTTTATTGAAAAAAAATGCCGATTTCTTTAACGATACAGTTAATTCACAACCACTTCATCTGCTTTTTGCAACCTCTTACGAGTACGATACATATGTTATGCACCTTGATTTGAAATATTTGTTTTAATTATTAAAATATTGTGGTTTAAAATCCCTTTGTTCTAAATGCCAATATTCGTTCTTTTTTGTCTTTGTTTTTTCATTCAAGAATATGCATGATGCCCTGAGATTGTCTTTTTTGTTCGAGCTGTTATAAGCAACACCAACAAAAAAAAACAAACAAAAAAACGAAAACTAAATAATAGAATCCGAATTTTATTGTTTATTTTTGACTGAATAACACAGTCAATATCTTTATGATAAAAACATCAATAACTTGATCGAAAGCTATCCTGTCCTTGCACAATACATGAACATAATAACATGAACATGTTCAGAACTCCCAATAGAGATTTCACTAACTAACGTATGTACAAAACTCAGTGAACGAACCTATTGGGACCGGTTATTACCAAACTAGGAATTTTGTGAACGCTGTTTGAGTTTTAAAAGAGAGGTGAAAGATACCAAATGGAAAATCAAACTCAAAAATCGAAAAACGACCAAAAGACAAACAACAGTATACAAAACACAAAATGGAAAAACTAAAAACTGAGCAACACGAAAACCACAAAAAACCCGGGCGTGATCTCAGGTACTTTGGAAGTGTGAGCAGATCCTGCTCAACATAGGGCACCCGTTGTGTTGTAAATGTACTGTTGATTTATTTATGTTCGTTGGAACCGATTTTCGTCGATTGATGAAAAATTGTATTTTCATGCATATTTGATTTCGTGGTTTTACCCATGAGAACCAACTGTGCTCCTCTTCTTGTCGACTTATTCCTTTATTCATATGAGGTTGACTTCATACAGGAGCTTCTTAGGAAGACAGAAAAGTAGTTAGCAGTATCCTGTTACTTCACTTTCCGCTATATATATGATATTCTCTCACTAAACAGTTAAAAAATTGGTGACTATGTTGAACGCATATATCAAATCGAACTTGAGATAAAGGATACAGCAAATACAGTTAAGTCTGCCTCATATCCTGATCTACATCTAGAAATTGATAATGAGGGTCGGTTGAAAACAAAACAAAAGAGATGATTTCAGCTTCCCAACTGTGAACTTTCCATGTAGCAACATTCAAGCAGCGCCTGCATACGGAGTATATATCTAACAGTTGATACGATATTCCAGGGCTTGTATTTCTTTTCATGATGTCCTTGATAAAGTGTTGTTGCTCACAAGGAAGCTATTAAAGCAAGAGTTCCAAGTGGTGAAGTTGAAATCACCCCTTCGTAAATTTTACGGACGTTATCTGAATTCACGAGTTATGGAATATCTATTTCACAGATAACAGAAACAGATGACGACGGATACTTCTTTTAAGTTTCAATTGTCGTAACCACAATCCCGTCCTCGTTTCCCCGAATGTGTCTACCAAATTAGACTTATCACCGTGTTTGTACTTACATGAGCAACATGACGAGTGCCGCATGAGGAGCAGGAATTGCTTACTCTTCCGGAACACCTGATATCACCTCCGGTTTTAGGTGGGGTTCGTGTTGCTCAGTCTTTAGTTTTCTATGTTGTGTTTTGTGTTACTGTTGTAAACACGTATACCTACCCATCCTATCATACGCTTGATAAGTTTCGCAAGGAACGTTCCATTAATCTGAGTTTCTATTTTTATTTAAATAAATTAAATTAATAAATAGACATATTAATGACATACATATTACAGTAAGGACTGACAAATACCATGAATCACTCGAATTAAAGGTAATAACTGAAACTGAAATAATCTGAAACAACTCTCCTTCCCGGGTTCATAACCTGACACACATCTATGTTTTCTGATGAAGATTGCAATTCATAGTGTTTGCAAGGTTTGACACCCTTTTATTATCTAAAAAATGTATTTTATA